TTATTGAGTTATTGCCAGTTTATTATCAGAGAATTTTGGTACAAGTGATCGTCAGAAAGAGTTAATGATTTGCGTCCCTTGAACTTTTTGACTCTAATATGAATGAAGAAGTTTTAAATGAAAATTTAAATAATTCATCATCTAGTGAAATTAGCGAAATTAGTGAAAACTTTAATTCAAATAGTATTTATATTATTTTATTTTGTTAAACAGTTATTTTTTAGATAAATTTAAATAATATAAAAAATATTTTTTAAATATTTATCTACAAAATAACTATTAATAAATTAATTCGAATTTACAAAAATTAATTATTTAATTATTAGATGATGAAATATGTGATTTATCATCTGAATTTATTAATGGTCTTCATCTTTTAAATATTAAAAAAAATCATAATTTAACTGAACAAGCATTTAATGATATTATGAATACATTTATTGGAAGCAAAATGAGTCTTTTTCGGGTTAAAAAAAAATTAACTAAGCTTGTAGGAATTAGATCATATTTTATTTATACTTGTATTAATTCATGTTGCACTTTTTCAGGTAGTTTAGCAAAAGAATTAAATTGTCCTTTTTGTAATAAATCTAGATTCATTATTGATAAGAACAAAATTAATTACAAAAAGCCACGCAAAGTTACTATTTATTTTTCTTTAATTGATAGATTAAAAATACAATATAGTAACAAAGATCGTGTATCAGATTTGTTATACCGACATTACTATACAACAAGTTCAACATACAATACTGATAACAAAATTGGTGATATATATAATGGGGAACTTTATAAAGAATTAGCTGAAGATGGTTTTTTTAATGATCCACGGAATGTTGCTTTAATAGGTTCTATAGATGGATATCAAATATTTCAACAAAAAACTGATGATTGTTGGGTAATAATGTTTCTTAATGCAAATTTAAATCCTATTCAATGAGCAAAAAAAGAAAATCTTATAATAGGAGCAATTCTACCTGGACCATTACAACCAAAAGATTTTAATTCATTTCTTTATTATATTATTAATGAATTAAAAGAATTAGAAGGTAAATATATTTATAATACTGTTAATTTATTTATTAATATATTTAAATTAATAATTACTTTATTTTAGATGGTATTGAATGCTATGATGCATTATCTAATGAAAATTTTATATTACGTGCTCATATAATTTTTTGGTCTGGTGATATTTCTGCATTAACTAAACTTATGTGTCTTACTGGTCACAATTCTTATATGGGATGTCGATTTTGTTATTTAAAAGGAGTATTTTGCAATGAAGCCAAACATATTTATTATCCATCACAATCACTATATAGATCACAAAATAATAAATATAATCCAAATAATTTACCATTGCGAACTATTCAAAGCTATAAAGAAGATATTCAATCAGTTCAAAATTCAAATAATATCAAATCAAAAAAAATGATTATTCAAAATACTGGTAATTATATTATTTACAATTATATTATTTATAATTCATAGTATTTAATTTAAACTGTATATTTTTAATTATAATAATTATTAATTATATTATTATTAATATATAGGTATAAAAAATTCTAGCATTTTGAATAAATTACAATCAATTAAGTTTCCACAATCTTTTCAGTAGATATAATGCATTTGTTTTTTGAAAACATTGCAATTCATATTTATAAACATTGGACAGGAAATTTTTTTAAAAATCCACTCCTTAATATAAATGATTATGTACTAGATTCTCAAACCTGGCGAACAATAGGAAACAAAATGCATTTAATTAAAAAAGAAGTTCCATTAGGATTTGGAAGACCACCACGCAATATATTTAAATATTCAGCTGGATTTAAAGCATCTGAATGGTTTGATTGGATAACAATATATTCTGTATTATTTTTAAAAGACAAATTAATGCGCAAGTAAATTAAATTTTTAATAATTAATATTATTAAAATTAAATTATAATTAAATTATTAATATTAATTTTTTTATAGATATATTTTAGGTTGGATAGATTTTGTTAATGCAGTACAGTTATGTACACAATATGAATTAACTAAAAATAATATTTTAAAAATAAAACAATTACTTTTAAAATTTTATAATCATTATGAGAGGTAAATTTATTTATATGTTTTTTTTAAATTTTCAAATTTTAATTAAAATAATATATATTATTATTTTAGAGAATATTATAAAAAAAAACCTGAAAGACTTCCTGCAATGGTTATTTCTTTTCATTATTTACTTCATATCGCTGATAGTATTGTTAATTGTGGACCATGCTGGTCATTTTGGCAATTTCCAATGGAATGCTTATGTGGAATGCTTCTTCCACTAGTTCATTCTAAATTATATCCATATATTAATCTTGCTAATAATATATTATTAATGGAACAATTTAATCATTTTCCTTTTGTACAAGCTTATAAGTATATTCACAAAACTGAAAAACCAACAAAGTTATAGCCTAACCACTTGGTCTATGGCAATGAAGAAAAAACAGAAGAATTTAATTTTTCTAACAAAAATTTTAAGCTTACTAGTTTTGAAATAAATAAATTAAAACAATTTTATTCAACTGAATTAAATTTTCCAAAATCAAAAATAAAGGTATTTTTTATTTTTAATTAACTTTATTTTAATTTTATTATTATAATAATATAAATATTTAATATTTTTTAGATTGAATCAATTAATGCAATCAAATTTGGACGTTTAATTACAAGAGATGGACATCAAATTAGCAGTTCTTGGATAAAAAATAAAAATGATTATTCACGAAATAATTATTGTATAGCAGTAAGTATTATTTTTATATTTGTATTTTTAATTTTTATTATTAATTAAATTTAATTAATTAAATTTAATTAAAAATTTAATTTATAATAATATAATTAATTAGATTCAAATGTTTGAAAATTATGAAATATATGCAAAAGTTCACTATTATATTGTTCATACTTTTAATAATTCAACTTTTATGCTTGCATATATTCAACAAACTAATAATGTGCATAATGATATATATGGATTGAAATCTTTTCAAGGTTTTAATACTTTAGAATATATAAAAGTAGAGTATATAGACCGTTGTGTAGGTTTTATATTTGAAAATAATTGCTTTTATATTATAGATAAAGAACATCAATCATCTATTATTAAATTAACTAGTTAGTTCTATTTTTTATTTTATTAATATTTGCTAGATATAAAAATATTTTTATATTGTATTGCTTATTAATTTTATTTAATACAAATATACGAATTAATATACAAATAAGTTATCTAGTATTTATATAAATAATATATATAATTTTTATATATATTCTATATATTTAACATATACAAATTTAATTCTATATATTTATATACATTTTCTATATACTTTAGTTTTGAAATTTTATTCTGTTAATATTTGCTAGATATAAAAATATTTTTATATTACATTGCTTATTAATTTTATTTAATACAAATATATGAATTAATATACAAATAAGTTATCTAGTATTTATATAAATAATATATATAATTTTTATATATATTCTATATATTTAA